TAAGTCACTTCTCTTAAATGACCTGCAGCCGTTTTTTGCCAGGCAGGGATTTGGCATATAATAAAGCTGTATTTTAAACGTTATACCTGTGCTAATGTTGACTGGAAACTGTCGACTAGCTGCTGCAGTTTACTAGCCTCATGTTTATATTTAACCCTGTCAGTGGGCTGATCGGTGAAAACCAGATGAAAACAAACAAACAGCCCAGGAGATGTGTGCCCACACACTTGGGACAAGACTGTCAGAAAGAAACCATCCATCATATGTCGAAATAATTTCAGTCGAGGGCATCAATTATGATTTTAGCCTTGCAGTAGCAGTGTTACCCCCCCTCCTCTCTCCTTCACCAAATACACATTCTCACCTAGACTGCTTCTGCTGTTTGACATGTAATTAAGTTAACGTTATACTATGTGCTGATTTTGACTGGAAACTGTCGACTAGCTGCTGCTATTGTTTACCAGCTTGTTCATGTTTAAATTTGGCCATTAACCTGTCAGTGGGCTAGTTAGCATATGTGTCATATTAATGCCACTCTTATATAATTTATGTAAAATCAGTAAGATTAACCACACTCTCAAAGTGTTGAGATATACATATACACTGTGTGTTACAGGAGACTGCCTCAGTCATTGAGTTCAAGGGACCAGCAGGCCTCGACATTGATGGAGTTCACCTCTTCACCTCCACAGAGGCTGTGTCGTGTCAAGACCACCTAAACTAATATGGCAATAACCATAACCCTACCCAAAAGCTGTACAATGTGTGGGGTTTTACAGGATCCCCCTGGTATTCACCTGTACGTGGCAGTGAAGACTGTGCTGCTGAACGGCGTGCGGCTGAACAAGTACAGGTGCCGGCGAGGCAGCAACTCTCTGGAGGGATTGCATGCACATCTGTACAACGCCGTCCCTTCACAAAGATGTGGCATCATGCCACTCCAAGTGAGTAATAAAAAAGAAAACGGCAAACACTTTTTCATTCAATATTTATTTTATTCATCACATCCCCTCTGTCAAGCATATACAATAATGCATAAACTGTGTTTCATACAATGTGTTTCAGGTGTACCTGATTGCATTCGCCGTGCAGTGGAACACCAGGATGGAATCCCTCCGGGTGGCCGGCCGTCAGGGTCAGCAGACAACGTGCGTGGACGCACGGCAGATCCAGCGCATGAACCGGCAAGCCGAGGTGCTCTTTGGCAAGGAGCACGTGCTGGAGCCAAACTTTGCTGCCCTACCCTGAGGAGTACGAGAACCCGGACGAGGAGGAGCTCCTTGGTGTTGAGTATGCCATGTGTCAGTCCACTGCATTCACTGCAAGACAGTACTGCGCACAGAAAGGTACAGCATGCTTACATACATACAAGTGATCTACAAGTACTAGTTGTAACTGCCTGGGCACGTTGTTCTTACCACACTAATTACCTGTTTGCAGCTGAGGAAGAGCAGTCTCGTGATGAGGAGGAGGAGCTAGCTGACGAGGGTGTCGACGTGTCGGAGGAGGACCCCATAGACAGCGTCAGTGGGAAGCACGCTGTCCTCACACAGGCAGAGCAGGTGGAGGAGGAGGACAGCCGCCAACTGGGAAAAGGCGTGGTGAGAAGCGGAGGTAAGCTGTTTAAGCACTTCACTTGTGTTTTGTGTGGAGAGCAAAGGGTTAATGCACCTAAATGTATACTCACAATCTCCTGTGTGTTTTATACATTTGCAGGTTGGAGTTTTAAGATCCAGAGCCAGGGCCTTCGCACCGGCCCATCCAGCCGAAGCCTGCCGCCGCCTCCTCCTACATGCCACCTGCAGTTTCAGCAGCACCGGTACTCCTGGTTGTTCCAGCCCAGCCAAAGGCTCCATCCATCAGGTTTAGTGGACCGTCCTGCAGTCAGGTCTTTGTCCCTGTAGTACCACCTCCTGCCCAACAAATCTCAGAGGCCCTGTGGGGCTTGCCAAGTACCTCAGTGTGGTGGCCAACGGAAGAGGTACACGCCTTCAAAAGAGAAAGCGTTTGGAAGCAGCCAGAACATTTTTACATTTTGTCCTGCTACTAACAAATCGACTACGTCTGGTTTTGAAGGTGTAGCATATAACAGTTTTGAGCACTTTATAAGTGTGTTGGACAAGGAACTGGAGAAGAGGAAAAACAATTGATACTTTACCTCTAATTCTTACCTTACTTGTTCCTGTGCTCTTTCCTCATCTCTTGCCTGGACACTTTACGCACTCCAGTCTGAAATACTATGAAAAGTGCACTATTATATGTTTCTGTTTTCAAATGCTATTCCTGCTGTTTAAATTTTTTTTATTTATTACATTATATTTGTATATTCATTATATGTTATATGTTTTTATATAATATATAATATAATATATATATGTGTGTTTTATATATATATTTGTTGTTTAATATTTTGATAATGTAATATTATTAATAAAACCTCTTTATAGTATTTCAAAGTGTCTGTGCTTCTTACCTAGTGGTTGCATAATTGTATTAAAATAAAGTGATAGCAGATGTTTAACATTGCACTATGATGCCTCGATGCCTCCAGAATCATCAAGATAGCCCCTTGGGAATCGGCCAACCTGGTAACCAGAGCACAAGTTAAAATCTGTAAATAACTGAGAATAGTTACCTGAGTTACTGTACTTACTTGCCTGGAATAAATCCATTTAAAACCTATGTGAAAGCACTATTATTTAAAAAATACAGTAACTCAGAGTATTCTCAGAAAAAGTGTCTTCAGACAGATCTTGAAGGTAGTCTCTTCAAGTAAGCACAATACCTGAAAAGATTGCCTTTTGGAGACCTGTTTGAAGACACTTCTCTGACAATTTAAATTAAATTATTTAAATAAAACCTCAACACCAGGGGGCGTCACAAGTGGAGATGAGAACCCAAACTGGGGTTGTTCTTATTTTCTTCTAATTAGTGCATGAATAAAATAAAAGAAAAAACTGTCTGGCATTCGAGAGGGCCTTTCTATATAAAGAGTTTCCACTTATTCTATGCTTTAACTAATTGGCAGGTTCGGTGGCTTTGTAACCAAGGATGACAGTCTCCTAATGTTTATAAATCATATTCCTCCATCTTTATAGGGGAGACCTGAATACTAATGCTGTATCACGTGAAGCTGCAAGCGCAATTAACCGAGATGATCAAATTTGGAGGACTAAGTTGTTAGTTGCTAACTGTTATACTTCAGACATGGCAATTGAATTAAACAGTGCAGACTGGAAGATCTCTCTTAATTTTGTCAAAAAAAAAACTCAACACAATATTAGAAAAAACGATACTAATAATCAAAAAAGAATACAGTCTAAATAAATCCTTAATTTACATAAAACATAAATAAATGACTACATTATAACGATAAACATATAATATTTAGGTTCTTCATCAGGTGTGGCATTTATCATCTGCATTAAAAATATAAGAACGTTTGCTGAACAAGACAGAAGAGAAGCAGTACAGTAGAAAGAGAAATCAACAGGTGCAACAAAGAATGTAATTTAATAGGTATTTTGCAGGTTCAAAAAGTACAATCCGATATACAGGCCATACCAACCCTGAAACGCACCAAGCATCTAATCCATCAACCGTCCGAGCATAATCGGAAGCTAAGCAAGGGATCGGGCTGGTTAGTATTGGAATGGGAGACGCCTGCGAATAGGATCTGACCCCCACGCCCTATTGCTCACCTGGGATCAATTGAAAATGATCAAATGCAAGCGCCACCCA